TTTTTTTTTTTTTTTTTTTTTTTTTTTTTTTTTGGGTGGTGAATATTTATATCTTGGGGAATAATATCCATATTTCAAGTCAGGAAAGTGATATTTGTTCAAATTCTGTGGTGAATAAAATGTTTTTTGAGGTGTTGCAGGAGCCAGGTTAAAATGGACAGAGCTGTCAGGGGTTTCTCTGGTCCTCTGATGTGCCCAGAAATTTTCTAATGACAGCATGAATAGTCCCTCCACACGTAAATCTACATGTAAATCTGCAGTTTGGAGCAATATTATCATGCCTGAGCCACACACTGACAGGGAAAGTGTGATGGTTGGAAAATGGGATGAAAGTAACAGTTTAGGATCTGATTAAATACAAGCATTACAGCAACTCTGCCTGTGTGAAGTTTGGTGTTAAAAACACAGAGAAGAGAACCAAGTTTTCAACAGGAGAGTTAAATTAATCCATGGATTATTTCAAACAGATCCAACTGCCTGAAAATGGATTTGGAGCAGTGTGGGGACCGTTGACTCTACACTGTGCTTTCCATCCTCTCTGAAAGGGATGTGTCAAATCCTGCCCCTAAAACCAGCTTGTTTGTGAATAAGGCAAGTTTGGCTGGTGTGTCAGGGCTTCTGCAGCATTTGTCTGCACAATTGCTATTTTCAGGGTGCTGGTTTCATTCTGCCACGCTGGTCATGAGGTTCTTATTTTTGGGACTGGCTCTGCTTGGGCCATCTCGAGGTGCAGTTGCACTTCTGGGTTCTGAGACTTTGAGTTATTAGGCAACAATTTTAAGTAATTTTGGTACTTTTTTTTCCTTTTTTTTTTTTTAATCATTGATTATTCTGCGTTTTTGGTGGACTTTTTCTTCCAGGAGAGTTAAAAGAACTGTGTGAATGAGGCGCGAGTTAAGTTGAATTGGATTCAGTAAAGGTGCATAAGTTTATTTCTTTCTAGAAGGATGGATAAACCTGAGGTGCACTGATACAATCAGCAGCTCTCTGCCATTTTGTGTCCTTGTCTCTGTGCTCCCTGGAAATCTTTAGAAAGCAGAGATATTCTTTATAAAAGCAGCACTGTGATAGCATGCCCCAAAAATGGGCTCTCCATGAAGGTTCTTCAGAGTGTTAAGCGTGAAATTACTTGCCAAGGTGGTGAAATCCTTAAGCATCGTATCATTTTATGTTATTTAAATCTGTGTTTTGGTCTGGTTAATAAATATTTCTATGTTTTGACACAGAATCAAACACATAAAATGACATTATCCTGAAGAATGTCATTCTTAAAGGATGGTAAAAAACCCAGTTGCTCCCTCTAGGGTCATTTTACAAAACAGAATCATTGCTTTGGAATCTTTTCAGTTTGATCCCTCCCCCTTTTTTTAACCCCATTTTTTTTTTTAACCTTTCTATTTAAAATCATACCTTAGTGTGGGATACAACAGGATTTATGACTTGATTCCATCCTAATGGAAAGATCAAGAGAATTTCATGATGGTGAGGTAAATCCATGTGCAGAAATCTTTTTGGTGTTTACCTTTGTAAATCCTTGAGCCATGTTCTTCTACTTGCAACACACTTCAAGTAGTGAAGAAAGCATAGGTTTGTTTTTTAAATTTCCTCAGATGCTTTCCAGTGGATTTATTGGCATGTTTGCTTACCTAGTCCTGGGAGACAGTGATTTGCATCAAAGTTAGGAATAAGTGATGTGCAGTGTTAATCACAGTTACCTGTGGAGGGAAAAATATATGTTGGCATTGATTAAAGATACTTAATACAGAGTCTTATTTATAGCTGTATTTTCATATCTGATAAAACAAGACAAGTTATTTCACTGAGCCAGAGCTGAAATGTGTATTTTGTGAAGGATCACGACCCCTCCCCCCAAAATATCAGTCAGGTGTGGTTTTAAAATTATTTTTTAAGGAGAATTGTATTCAAGTCTTCCAGAAACATGAACACTGAACTAACCCATTGTGGCTGAACTTGGTGGTGAACCGTGGTGATCACGAAACAGTAATTTTTGGTATAAAATTTGTGTGTTCCTACATACATTTCTTATTTATTTGTATTATGAAATGGCCTAATAGTTCTTGGAAATAATCTCTGCCTGAGGAGCTGGAAATTAGGTTTTGGCTGTATAGCTGGGAGTCCTGGCAGTTGTTTTCATCCCAAAATTAGCAGGAGTGGGCTCGGCTCTGTCCCATCCTGAGGGGAGCTGTTCATTGCAGTCGGCATTTCAGTCCCTCAGTAATCAGAGCAATCCCACAACCACTTCATTTCTAGCAAATCGCCAGCCCTGCAGAGTAATGGAGACATCCACGAAGATAAATGTATTTTAATACAAGATTAAAAGGGAATTCAGGTAGGAATTGGCTCCTGGATTAACATGTGGCTTAACATGATTTTGGGAGCACCTTTGAAGCCCTCACTGGGTTAATACCAAATAAACTTCTGTCTGCTGACAGCTTTGTGTTACAGTGGATGCCACAAGGAGGACAGTGCTTTAACTGGAGTCTCCCCTCTCAGCACATAGCATTCATTCACAGTTCTTCTGATTTTTTAACTTTGTCCTGTCAACCCTCTGGATGCCTTTGGTCCTTAGTAGCCTAAGACATTCCTGGCTGAAGTAGCCAGAATTTAGCTGGATAAATTGCTGTACCCAAACCCCAGCACTGGCTGGAAGTGTCCAGCACTCGTTTCTCTCTTAACACCTGGCACGTGGGATACCAAGCTCTGCTTTTCAACACAGAGGTATAAAAGTTGTTTGACCTAAAAAAAAAAAACCCGAATAGAATTTAAAATAACAGGCACAGAGGTGAAAGCTGATCTCTGTTGGGTTGTGTTTTTTTCCCCCCAGTAGTTAAAACAGGTGTTTGTGAGTGTTTATCCCTTCTGCTGTTTTCCAGTCAGCCCATGAGCATTCCCAGCTTCAGCTGAAAACTTATTTTCTGTCTGTCAATAACGAAGGAAAAGTCACTGCATTCCCATCTCTTGCAGAAGTGTTTACTCATCCTTGGACACGCAGTGGAGACAAATGGCCTTACACATGTTTTTATGAGAAACCAGTTTTGATTTTAATTAGTGGTAATTGGAGAAGAGTTGTTTGCATCTCCTGAATATGTGACCACCGATAACTGAGCGAAGAAATATGGCCAGATGTTACGGAAATTGTGAGCCTGGAGCCTTCCCTTTTAATATTTCGAGTGTTCCTTGGTCAAAAAAACACCAGAGCCAGAACACTGAGCTCTCCTGCTCTTCTGAACCATTCAAGCCAAGGGCCTTCTTTGCCAACTTGGACATTTCATTCACCTCGCAGACCAGGAATTTCACGTGCTTTTAACTACCCAGGCCTTAAATAAGGCAAAATACAGCTTTAAGAATAGTCATTCTGGCTTATGGAATTCGATTGAAATGTGTAAGAAATAAGCATCAGACTTCCCCAAAGCCCAAATATTTGATAAATACCAGTTCTCTTTGTTTACAAACCTGTGGCATATACCCTGTTTATTTGCAGAAGAGTCCTTGGCTTTGCACATAAATTTTGTTTGGCTTTTTGTATTACAGAAAGATGGGTTGCAATAAAAATCTGCCTCAAATTGATAGCTTAATTATGTGCAAAAGTACAGGGGATGCAATTGATTTTTAAAAATAGTTGAAATGCTTGTCACTATTTTGATTGTTTTTGCTATCTACCATAGATTAAGTCAGTATTCTTCTGTTTTAGAAACATCTTTTAGCAACTGTTAAATGGAAACGTTGAATTCAGAAGCGGATTTGGGGTGAGACAGAACCTGAAAGCTCTGGGGCAAAAATATTTCTGCTTTCTTGTGTTTTTTTATTCACTTTATGGACACAACATTTGGTTTAATTGAGTGAGCCCTCTGGACTGACTTTTGTTCCAGGGTCACGAATTGCAGAATCACGGAGTCATTTTGGTTGGAAAAGCCCTCCAAGATGGTCGAGTCCAACCCTTAGCCCAACCCTGCCAAGCCCAGTTTTCATTCATGTGTGGTTTTAATTCAGTTTTGGTCTTAATTTAGGTCTTCACCGCGTGTGATGAAGACAAACCCACGTGCCTATGTTCAAATCTGACCTTTGGTTTGCTCTCTGTGTTCCGCTAACGTGTTTCAAAATATTGTAATATATGGCTTCCCAGGCTCCAGATCAATAACCCAATGGGTCTGAAATGACAGAGTGCTACGATATTCCTCTGTAATTTAAACATGATTAGCTGATGAAGGTTATGATCAATATGCCAGGGGAAGATAAATTAATTGATATCATCCTTTCAGGATGATAAGAGGCCTATTGGAGGTGGGATGTAACTAATGAAGCTGCTTCTTCACATGTATGAGCCATTTTTTATACAGTGTATTCTCACTAAATCACGGTTATGCCATCGTTCATTTACATGAAAAACATAAGGCACGGACCAGTTTGTTATTAAAATTGCATTTGTTTGAGAACAAACCGTGCTTTGCGCTATCTCTGCCCATGCTGTAATGCAGTGAGGAAAAATCATCTTGGAATTTACATAATTATCTTTATGAGCGAGACAGACCGACTTCTCTCGGCTTAATTGCACCGAGTTTTTAAGGAGGTGCCAATAATTGTCACTGGTTCTGGTGGAGGCTCAGTTCTTCTCATTTCTTTTATTATGGGTCTGCTGAGCCACGCACAGAGATGTTAATGACTGATCCCTGGATCTGTTTGATAAATGCTGCTTCTCCTTACACACTGAAGAAAAATTCCTTAATAAATTGCAGAGCAAATGAGGCATTTTCCCAGCTGTGCTGCTGCTAAGGAATAAAAGCTAAAACTAGTAATCATGGTATAGCTCCTTTCTACAAGGATTAGACCGGGATGTGATGTGTGGGTCAGGGGCAGTCAGTGTTTGGAGCGGGATTGGGCAGTGGAAGCCAAACCTGTTTGTGTCCTGTGCGTTCCCAACATGCCCTGTTTCCCACAGTGTGCTGTGCCTCACCTGCCTGGGTGTTTTTGTTTCCCTTTAGTTGCCCAGAAGATCGTTTCAACCAAGAAGAAGCAGCAGCTCTCGATCGGACCCTGCAAATCTCTGCCCAACTCTCCGAGCCACTCCTCGGTGTGTTCTGCCCAGGTCTCTGCCGTACATATCAGCCAGGTACAGACTGTCACCAATGCTTGGGGAAGGAACCGAGCAGTTGCTTGTCACCTCATGTGTTTTATGCCATTTAAAGTGCCTTTTTTTTTTTTTTTTTTAAATTTTAATTCTATCAGTGATTCGTGGTTTGAAGCAATATTTTAAATTTTTTTTTTTTTTTTTTAAATGGCTTGACTTTGTTTCAAGAAACAAAGGAGTAAACCAAACCAGTTTGGCTTTAAAGCCATCTCTGGTGGTCCAGATTGATGCCAGCAGCCTGCAGGTCTGAGCAAGACCTGTTGTTAAAACTGCAGGATTTGCTGTGCTGTGGTTTTTGGTGGTTACTCTCGCTCAGCTGTGTGCTGTGCTGGTATATCCCAGTGATGTGTGTGCTGGAACTGTACACTGTGATGATACCTTGATGGTATTTTTTAGAAGCATATGGTTAACACCAATATTTTCTATTTTGCACAGTTTTTCCCCACGTGTGTTGCACACTCCCCGTGTTTCCCCCGTGATCCCCTTCCTCAGTGTCTTTGTTTTCTAGTGTCAAGTGATAATCTCTGTGCACGTCCCCAGCTGGGATGGACATGAACTGAATGATTCCAGACACCCCAACCCTCCTGGGGTGGTTTTCAGTCTAAACTCAGTAGATGCCAGTGTCTTCTAAGGTTACGTTGCAGTCCTGAGCCACCCATGTGAGATTTTGTTTTACCTGTGGACCTTTCTCCCACACAGTGTCTGCTTTTTGGCAAAAAGCAGTAACTTCTACCATTGATTTGTAACCCTACAGATGCAGATGCCAGTCTGTCCCTAGAGCTCTTTGCTGTGAGTTATTCTGCTTTAGACTGAGTCTTGATAGCTGAGCTCAGACTGGGGCTGGCTTTGGTTGGTGAGCCAAAAGAGGACGCTGGAGTTCAGCCCCCCCTTTCTAAAGCAGGTGCTGAGGCTCTTCAGAAGAACCCTGGCACCTCCTGGGGAAGTTCAGGTTCCCATATGGGGCAGATTCTCTCCTTTCTTGCCATATGTGACCTTGAAGAACATCAAATATCCGGTGCTCACCACTTTGCTACCCAAGTCTCCAGTTGGGAAGTCAGTCCCAAGTTCTAGGCAAGTGCTTTACCTACACAGCAAACTTCTTGCCAGTGATAAGGGCTGGGAAAGCCAGGGCAGGGGGAGCTTTTGTGATAAGGATCCCCAAGTTCTGTTTCAGTAAAACCGAAGTGATGTTCTTCACTGCCTCTACCGCTGTCATAATTATCTAACGGGGCAATTGCATCACCAGTCAAAGAAGTCTGTCTTCTGAGACTGATGTCATGCCTAAAAGTAGGGGCCACAAATCTGTTTCATGTCTTCTCTCCTTTGTGGTGCACTTAAAGGCAGCATGACCTTGTTTAAGGAAAGGAAGCTGAATCCTTGTCCTAGACTTAAAAAGGAACTTTGCAACTGCAATTCCAAGTTCTAAGACGATCTGGGGCAAGATTTGCCATCTCTGATCTTGGCTGGAAGACTGGCTGGTGTCTTGCCCTTTGGAACATCTCTTTTGGTGTAATGATGCTCCTCTGAAGGTTTCCTCCTCGGATCAAACCCGTCATGCTTGCAGTGCCCTGCCACTTGCGTTCTCCACAGGGGCCAGGCCCTTCACAGGCAATGCTTACACACAGCCCTTCAGATGGAGTCAGACATTGTTCCATCTCTGGTTGGATCATCCTGGGGATCCAGCTCCTGCAAACTCTCCAGATGACTCTGCAGTCAGAAGGTGCTTCCTTTAGAGAAAGGGAAAAAAAGGAATACCAAGTGTCACCTTACCCAGGCTAGTCCTCAGCATACCTTGGGGGAAATTCTAAGGCTTAATACCAACCAGGGGTGAGTTTGCCAGGTTGGACAGGGCTCAGAGCAACCTGGGATAGTGGGAGGTGTCCCTGCCTATGCCAAGGGATGGAATAAGGATGAGCTTTAAGGTCCCTTCCAACCCAGGCCATTCTGTGGCTCTGTGAAAGAAAAACTTGTTTGCACCTTTGGATGCATCTCTGTACTCGTGCCCAGTACCAACCAGTCACGTGTGTATCTGTGTGCTCCACATCTCCACCCCACCTGTCGCTCCCCCACCTGCTGCCTCTTGCCAGTTCGTCTGGACATGGTGTGCTTGTAGACTGTGCTGAATCTTGTTTCAGAGGAGGCAGAGTACCTTTTCCATCCCAAATCCCCACAGGCATTCCTCTTCCCTAAACTCACCCCTGGACTGGAGGAGTTGTCCTCCACACCTGATGCATCACGAAGGCATTTTTAAGGTATTAACTTCAAAGAACAGTGTCAATATCCAGCAGCTCCCAGGGGGCTCTTTGCTCTGCCCGGCCCCTGAAAGTGGAGATCGTCTGGTTCCAAGAACCAGTGCCTTCTGTGTCAGGGGGCCCTGGATAAGTGTGTTGGGTTCCTGTCAGGGAGTTGCAGAGCCAGAAAGTCCCCCCTGAGCCTCCTTTTCTGCAGGCTGAGCACCCCCAGCTCCCTCAGCTGCTCCAGCCCCTTCCCAGCTCCGTTCCCTTCCCTGGATGTGCTCCAGCCCCTCAGTGTTCATACCTGTAGACTGCAGTGTCAGGAATTGTGTTTCCTCTCTCCCAGGAGGTTTGCATTATTCCTGGGAAGGGTGTGGAGCTTGATGTCCACTGTACTAAGCTGCACCTCAGCTGTTGCTTGCACCCAACCTCTCTCCTCACCACCTGTTGCAGACCCGTAGAGATGCATCATTTATGCTTGCACTGTGCCTCCATCAAGTTTTTACTTCAACATGATTGTCTAAATATGTAAATTGAAGTACTAAAAGCAAAGCACAGTCAGCCTGATCATCCATTGTTTTATTGGACATGAGAGCTGATTATGGATAAGCATTAAATAGTAGGGTACAATTACCTTATTTATAGCAGGGGCCATTTGGGATGAAATGTTCTGTTGTAATATTTTGGGCACTTGACTAGGGAAGAGACTGCATTGCTTAAGTAGCTGTTCCTTCTGCCTTTTCACGGAATTGCAAAGTGAAAACTGGAGGAAGAATGTTAATACATTTAATAACATTGCCAATATACAGCACAATCCTTTTGGATTTACAGGGTTATTTTTAAGTAATCTAATATTTATTTAAAACAAGCATTTTAGATTGTTCCCTGTGAGGGTGGGCAGGCCCTGGCACAGGTTGCCCAGAGAAGCTGTGGCTGCCCCTGGATCCCTGGGAGTGTCCAAGGCCAGGTTGGACAGGGCTTGGAGCAACCTGTGCTGGTGGAAGGTGTCCCTGCCCGTGGCAGGGGGTGGCACTGGAAGGGCTTTAAGCTCCCTTTCAATCCACACCATCCTGTGGTTCTATAAATACGGTTTCCACGTGCTTGTTTGTGTTTTTCATTGTTCCAGCCAGGGGCTTATCTTGAAACCAACTCCGAATTTTATTTACGAAGCTGGAAATCGAGTGAGGTTGGTTTGAGTGAAGAGAAACATTTCCTGGAGGGCTTCTTTTATAGAACCTGTCTGTGTAGGAGGGTGTGTTTTTGGAGTCTAGAATGCCCAGCTTGTAGGTGTTTTCCTTTGGGAGTTACTCACTCCTGGAACATAAATCATTATAAATCCAGGGGACAGCTCCAAAAAGTATAAAATGACACCACGAGATGATGAAGGATTAAGAAGGTAAAATTTCAGGGAATCTCTCATTCTCTCTACCAGGGAAAGAGGCACTTAGAGTAGAAATCTGGTCATTTTAGTTCAAAAAGCACAAGGCTTCTGTATCACCTTCCTCATGTCCACTGGTTTGAGAACAAGGGAAGGCAGACATGGCATAATTCAGGTCCCTTCTGCCCAGGTTGTCCTGCTCGTCTCTGCAGCATTACCATTCTCTCTTAGGACGCTAAAAATGATCATTCCAGCTATTTCAGCTCCTTTGTTTTACACACTTGGGCCACCTCCAAAACCTGCTGCTGCTTCCTCTGGCACTTGAGAATGTTGTAGAAAAACCTCTCTCCAGACCCTCTGTTGCTTTCAGTGCCCTCAGCTCTGGCTCCCTGACAGCCACACTTCCCCAGTTGGGTCAGAATGAAGGGAAAAAGAAATTCAGTGTCCTTTTTATATGTGTATATTTTTTATTTGAAGAGGGGAAAGGAGAACTTGCTCCATCAAAAGCCATTTGCGGTGTTGTCAGTCCCGTTCTGTCACGCAGAGATGAGCTGAGGAACATGTTATTTCCAGGGAAACAGTGACCTTCAGAAGGTGGTGTTCCTGGATTTCCATCTGCTCTGGTTGGCCCTTGTCTCATGCCTCTTCCTCCTTATCCTTTACTCCTTGAATGGAAAAAGGGCAATTTGGAAAGCTGGAAGAATCAGAAGAGGATCTGAAATGTGAAAAAAGGCTTCAGCTGGATGGTATAAGGGATTGTCTCCCACAGGGTTCTCCTTGGGAGGTGCCTGGAATTTCTGATCCTGATCCACGTGCTGACCCCCAGGGAGTGTAGGAGAAACCCCATCAGGCATCCTTCTCCTCAGCCATTCTGGAAATACTCCCACACTTATCTTTCCTCATTCCTCTAGGAAACTTGGCTGCTTTACAGATGCTCTTTCCATGTCTTGTGTGCATCCCAGACTTTATTTCCCCCCCAAAATTTACATGTTACATGTTGTCCAGCCTCTTCACCCACTGCTGCTCCTCCACTGGGCAGAATTTTCCCTCCTTGACCTGCCCCATTTCCCCCCTCAGCACATACAGTATGCCCTCAAAGGGTGTAACTGGATCTGATAGGGAAAAATTGACCCTTTTGTCTTTCCTGACTACTTTCACTTCTAGTACTCATGTTATGTGTAATAATCTTTTTTTAACTTAATACTTTGTTCTTAATCACCTTTTGGTCCTTTCCATTCTATCCAGTTTTCCTCACCATCCTGCTATTACTAATTTTTTCCCTCAATTCATTAATTGTTTTATAGGCTCAGTGCTTTATTTCTTTCAGGACCAAGATGTAACATTGCATTTCCTGCCACTTTGAATAACTTGGAATGTCATCCTTCTAAAATTTCGTATCTCTTGACCAGTGACCTCAGCAAATCCTCTGGAGTTCGATCCCTCGATGATCCTTGTGGGTCCCTTCCAGCTTGGGAGATTCTGTGATTCCTTCCATGTGTTGGGATCTTTCTAACCCCACAATAGCCATTTTACAATGCTGAATTATTTTCATTTTCTTGATGAGCTCTCAGTTAACCTAATGTCTCCAGGCTAGGACTAACTCCAGTTCTGCAGCTCCATGGCACTGGGTATTTTCTCTCAGCTTAGAGCAAGAGTTTAGTTTAGTAATTTTGAAGTAGAAAACCAGATTTTCCAGCGTGTTCCCCGATGTTTTCCTTGCTCCTCGTACACTAGAAAACAAATGAAACTGGTGATACCCAGTGAAGGTTACGCTGTGCAGAATGAAAACGTGCCTGCTGTGTGAACAGAGCTAAGTATTCATAAAGGAATGGCAGGGAAAAAGGCTTGGAATGCCCGTGTGCACAGGGACGTGTGGGACAGTGGCAGGAGGGCAGCCCCCGTGTTCCCCAGCCCTGGCTGCTCTTGCATAAATCAGGAGTAAATAAAGATACGGCTGTGGATTGTAATCTCTTGAAAAGCAGTGTATCACTGTTTAAAACTCACTTTAATCCTTGCAGACCAGTAATGGAGGAGGGAGTTTAAGTGATTATTCCTCCTCTGTCCCATCAACTCCAAGCACCAGCCAGAAGGAGCTGCGGATTGATGTTCCTCCCACTGCCAACACTCCAACTCCTGTCCGTAAACAGTCCAAGCGCCGATCCAACCTCTTCACGGTGAGTGAGCCAAGGGAGGGACTGTTGCTGAGGAATTCTTCCCTGTGAGGGTGGGGAGGCCCTGGCACAGGCTGCCCAGAGAAGCTGTGGCTGCCCCTGGATCCCTGGAAGGGGCTTGGAGCAATCTGGGATAGTGGAAGGTGTCCCTGCCCCTGGCAGGGCATGGGACTGGATGAGCTTTAAGGCCATTCCAACCCAAACCAATCTGTAACTATCCCATGCTACTTCTATTACTATACAGAATGAACCCACTTTTCTAGAGTTAAAAAAAATTAGCGGAGAGTAAAATACCATTTTTATTTTTCTTCCCAAACTACCTGGCTTTTGCTTCGCTGAGAGGCAAAAAAAAGAAGTATGAAATAGAAATATCTGGTGCGGTATGAGAGGTCTTTGTTACACAGAAGTAGTTTGGGAGATGATAATGAAGCCTTGAGTGATGATTCCCTTAGTTTAGCAGTCGTGCTGAAAGCTGTGGGACTGTGTTGAGTGTGCAGTTGTGGTTTGTAAGCAGTTCTTTGACAGCTAACGTGCTTTATAAGGCAAACTCACAACCCCTGGCGGCTCCTGACCCAAGTCCCTTGGTGATTGTAGGTGCATCTTAGTTGAGATTAGAGAGCAACAACCTCACAAAGAGTTGATATATTTTATTCCAGAGGTGCTGCCACGTTCACTTCTCACATACAAGAAGGATAAAACCATTTCCTCACACTCTAAAAACAAAACTGAGCCCTTGGCCTTTAGGGAGTAGAAAGTTTTGTTGCCACATCGGAGCAGGGAGTGACAGCACGGAGACCCCGGGATCCTGTGTCCATCCCAGCAGGGGCATTTTGGTGTAAAATGGGATCTTGGACTCCCACAGAGGAGAGAAAATCGCTCAGTTTGTGTTTGGGTGCAAAACACTGGAAGGAAGTGAAGAAGAAGTGCCCCCAGGGTGGACGCCGGTGTTTGAGCGCAGTGCTGCGGGTCCTTCCTTCCCATGGCTGGGAATACTCTGCGGTTCCCAACCCCACTAGGTGTCAGTGTCAGCCCAGAAACCAGCGGCAATCAGAGCCCTGCAAACAGGGCTCGGAACCACCGAGTCCCTCCAAAGCAGCCCTGGCCAGGTCCGGGCTGAAGGATGGACTGAACGCTCTTAGGGCTGCAGGGGTGGTGTCGGCACTGGGGAGTTTGGGGCTGTTTTAATCCGGAGCAAATCCTCCACATTTGAGGAAGTGAATCACAGGGAAGGTTTGAGAAGAATGTTAAGTCAGCCATAAAAAAAAAAAAAACCAGAGCCAAGCTCTGGGCTGTGGTAATTAATAACACAGCGAGAGCCAAATTTACTAATACGAGAGGGTGTTGGGAGTTGTCCTAACGTCAGATAACGGGGGGGAAACTGGAGCAAAACCAAGTCTGATGGAAAAATAATGATAATAATTTGACTTTTCAGAACTGGTTCTGACTTTTAAATCTGGGCATGCTGAAGGCTGTGTAGTGAGTTGCCCTGTAGGCTGTGTCCTGAAGTATTGAGAGCCCACCCTCTGTGACCCAGGTTTTGTGCCATATCAGCCAGGTTTTGACCTGGGATTATTTACCTGAATAAACAGATGACCAGTATTTTCTGTGTAGTTATGAACAGAGTGCATAATCAAAATATTTAGCTCTGGATTTCTTGCTGTGCTTCTCTTCCCAGCCTGGTGCTTGCTTTTATCATCACTTACAGGTTCAAATGTATTTCCATTTAATAATTGCAAGCTACCCCTTGTTATCTAGCAGAGGTAATCTGCTTAGTGATCTACAGATCTTTTAGTGTTGGAAGAAAATTGTGTTAAGTAGAAAACAGATGTGATTTCTCTTAATGACAGTTCTTGAGTGGGAATAGGGTTAAGAATTTTAAGCACGTTCACATTAAGTGCATTAAATGCAGCATCTGATGTTTTTGGCTTTGATTATTAATGTTTCTTGTAAAGCTATTGTTGCAGCAGCTGATTTTCCACTTAGGTGAAAAAACAGATCAAATATTAGCAGAACTGTTAATGTCCTTTTGGGTGGGCAGTGTGATAACAGGGACCACTAAATAATAGGGCAGGTGGGGATTTAAACTGCATCTGTGGGGTCCACTTGAGCAAGGAACTGATTGTAAGTATGTCTGATCCCACGTGGGGTGAGGGAATTTCTGGGACAGGAAGGTGCATCTCCCTTCCCATAATCAGTATTACCTGCCTTACATATTTACAGAATTGAAGGAGTTTTTTCGAACTTAAACTCTCTGTCTCAGTGGCCGCTATTAGAGGTCATGGTTCTTACTTTTGGGGTGCTCTGCACTGCTGATTTGGGTCTGGTTGGGCCCAAACTCAGATGCTCTATCCCTCTGGAACTCAATCTCACTCCACAGCCCATACCTGGGTCAAGTTTTACACTGATTCAGTCCGTGTTTGGCTTCCAGTGCAAAGGGGAAATCGGTCGGCTGATATTCATGCAGGTGTTTGAATTCTTCCAGACTTCATCTGGTTCTCTGGCATGAAGTTCTAAACAGAACCACCTGACCTGTAGATGTGCCATCAGAAAAAGCCCTCTCAAGTGTTGATCCAGTGTGGTTTAGAGTCTGGGGGTTTTTTTACGCTGTAGGATGTGAGATGTATTGTGTGTGTCGTAGGTACAAAAGCATAAAAGCTCAGACCAGATCTCTGTTTCCCTGTGCGATTTGTCTTCATAAATAGCAGAGCCCGCTAAGATTCTCCCCTGGAAAATGTGATTACAAGCAGCTAGAACAGAATTTGCCTGACAGAAAGCCCTGTGTTCCTGTACTTTTGGCATTGAACAACGTTTGGCACGTAGATATTTCCCTTCCACGTGCAGTGTGTTATTCCCAGATGCAGTCACTCGTAGGGAAGGGAGGACGGGGTTGATTTAAAACCAGAAAGTGAAAACCAGCACGTTAAGATATTCAGCTTGCCATTTCAGAGGCAGGCTCCTTTCTTTAAAAAAAAAAAAAAAAAAAAAAGGGATAAAAAAGAAACATTCAAGTTGACAACTCCCCTCCCAGAGATTTGGGTACCTTCACTGAGTTTCTTTACAGTGTCACTTACGGGCTCTTTGCCCCATTGAAGCTTTGTTTTGCCTCGTATTCTTTGGGAAGTGGCACTTTCAGAGTCAGAAATCTGTCTTGAAGGATGGGGAACAATGGTTATCCTGCACATCGGGTTTTCATCCCTCCCACTTGTTTTGCTTTCTTTTCATTTATTCTTTGTTTAATTCCCCGGCACGTCATTCCATTGCCCCGATCCATAGTAACTGGTGAGGGGAGCCCGTTCCCGGCGGAGCGGGGAAGGCAGCACGGGATCCCCGCTGGGTAAATGTGTTCTCAGAATGGTGTTACTTGAAGTCCTGCTCCGTGGGTTCCCCCAACTCCCCTCCCCTTCCCTCCTCTCACGCCCCGAGGCAGCTGCTCCGGGGGTTTATTCTTCCTTCCTTTCTCCCCTCGGTGGAATAGGGAAAAATGGGTATTTAGCGACGCGCCGTCCTCGTTGTCCTCCTGATTTCGGCGTTTCGAACATCTCTCTTTCCCCGCTGGAAACGAGGAGCGTCGCCCCGGTTTTCATTAGCTCCCCATTGTGGCACTGGACATCACAAATGGGCTCCTTTCATGTATCATCTCTCTCCCGAGCTGAAAAAGCACACGAAAATGTTTTCCCATTCCCGATATTGTGTGAGTAATGTTCCTATTGGAAAGTAATGGAGTGAAGTTGTCACTTGTCAGTTCGGTTATTAAGGAGGATGACTCTCGGGTCTTCTTTTTGTAATAAAATAAATCTGTCAAAATCATTACGTTCGCGCGTTCTCTGGCAATAACGGGCTGCAATCTGAATATCTGCTTAAAATTCCCACAGAACTCGATGAAGTCGAGGAGGTGAGCGCTGTGACCTCACTCCTGCAGCAGCTCCAGCCTTATGGAACGCCAAGAGAAAGCAGTTCCAGTTTAAACGTCGATTAAATTCACCTCGTGCTGATTTTTTTTTTCCCCACATTGTGTTCAGATAACTTTTTCCAGCATCAATCCCCACCTTGCCTTGCGGTTCCCAACTTTCTAACCATCCCGAAGTAGAAAGAGCTAATAAGTTGAAGTCAATGTGATCAAAACCAGCATCGTAAAATTGTATTTCTAAATAGTTGGTAACATTTCTAAGAACCACACAGGTGTGAGTTGAATGTATGCATGGATATATTAAACTTTTTTAATGAGGAGCTGGAACCTTCATTCCTCATTGGAGCTATTGTTGGAAACTTCAGAAACGTGTCCTTCTGATCTGCTGGGTCTCCAGACAGTGAAAGTGTAACTCTTTAAACCCAAATGCATCTCAAACTAGCGAATGGTTGAAATTTACGGGTGGCATCTTATTTATTCAGATTTTAGGATGGTCGTGTATTTGTGTAGACTCATCTCACTGCTTCTGATCTGTGTTTATGTGTGAAATTATTTTTTAATTGCTTGGAAAAAAAAAAGAGGGGGTGGGGGTGGGAAGCATCCTCCGTGTTGAACCTGCTGCATTTAATGGAGCACAAACTTTCCTTTTTTCGCTCTGCAGTCTCGGAAAGGGAGTGACCCAGACAAAGAGAAGAAGGTCCTGGAGAGCAGAACAGACAGCATTGGAAGCGGCCGCGCAATCCCAATTAAGCAGGTAATGCTGAAACACTCGGGGTTTTTTTGGTTTGGGTTTTTTTTTGTGCCGCTTCCCGGAGTTGGGAGCCGCACCTCGGGTCTCGCGCGCTCCGGCGGCGGGGCCCGCGCGCCCCGGCGCCGCCGTTTGATGTGCTCCGGTGATGAATGTGGAAGTCACTCACTTGACATCAATTAGGAGAGGTTCCTGTGTGTATTAAAATAGGATCATTAGAATAAGAAGAGGAGGGGGGGGGGATAAAAAAAAGTGACAACAGGCCCTAATGAAGTGCAGTCTGCCGGCCCGCATATGGAGCGCGTTTTCCAGGCTGGGCTGCCTTCAAAGCCGCCTTTGTAGCGGGCTTTGATTGGGCCGAGTGCTGCCGGGCGCAGGGTGAATCGCATCGCTCCACAAGAGCCCCTTGTGATGGAGCAAGAGCCTGATGTGGCCCTAATTTGCTGCCGCAGACGGACATCTGAACGCGGGGCCAGGCTGGTCCGCGCCGGCGAGGCAATTAGCGCCGGTAATCACGGCCGGTGTGTCAGCTGCGCGCTCCTGTTTGTAATTTGCTAATGAAGGAATTGTAACTTTGATTAGGTTCAGTTTCATTTCAGACCTTATTATATAAGGGAACGTTTACAGCTGTAATGGGTGGCCTTAATTAAACTTTCTCATTACACAACAGGGCTCGGATTCGAGGGTTTGTTTTGGTCTGTTTTTGCTGGCCCGGAACGCACTTTCATTAGCCCAGGACGCTAAATTGGAGCTGTGAACGCTCCTTTGAAAGGCAAAAAGCGAGGCCAGCGTTGGATAGCAAGTGTTTGGGGAATGAGATGATTTGCTTTCTCGAATGAAATGACACACCGAATCCACGTGGTTGGTATTGGCCTCACGAATAGTTTCTCTGTTAGTGTTTGCAAGTATTTACCGAGTTGCCTTGCTGCAGAGGAGTGCTCAGGGAAGGGAGCTGGTTTCCTTCCCACAAGGTTTCTCCAGGTGTTCTGGTGCCTGTCCTACCCTCCAGAGGATCACTTGCCTCTCCTAATCTTTCCTCAGTCCCTGCCAGGTAGCCCTAGGTCTCCTGTGTGAAGGTGGCTTGGGATATTTTGGGGTGTTTTGTGTTTTTCCTCTTTATTTCTTGGGTGTGAGGGGGAGATGATTTCGTACCCTTAACTATCAGCAGTGATTTTTCTTCTTACAGTCATTTCTAAAGACCTTTTGGGACCATCAGGCAGCAAAAAATGCTGTGGTGTGTGAATCTCTAGTAGGCAGATTTTAATCAAGCACGCTGCAATCCAGAAGAGCAGTTTGAAAGCAGAAAAAGCTCAGTATTTTGGCTCTGCATCCAGGGGAGGAGATTCCAGGCATTTAAAACAAGCTGCAATTTTATTTTCCTACGGTGTTGGTATGGTACAGGATGGGTTAGACCGGCTGGAATTCTTTTGGGGAATGCTGATTAAACAAAAGTGTAGCTGAGAGTGAAAAACTGAGGAGTGCGTGTGCCAGCATCCCAGGCACATGTGTACTGTTCTTTCCTGAAATGCTGTGGTATGGAATGATCCTGGCTAAAAATGAACTCGTAGGAAGAGCAGTGTAAGATGAATGTTTGTAAGTGTGACTGCGCTGCACCGTGTTGGAATGAAGTACTCCTAAAACCTCTCGAGTTTCTGTTTGGAAAAATCCCCCCTGCAACCCTGCCTGCTTCCTAAATACGACCAATCCCTCGGGAATGTGCACCGCTTGTTGTCAGTCCCAGTTGTGGTGATCCCATTTTGTCACGTGCAAGCAGTCACCGGCACGTGTTTGAGGTGGGTTGTCAGGGTTTGGGGAGGTTGGCCGGGTGGTTTGCAGTGCTGGAGGATGGCTGTTCCGTGTGGGATTTGGCTGTCAAGAGAAGGGATTTTGGGAGGGCTTGTCAGCAGAGGTGGCCCAGGTTCTGTTGCTGGCACGGCTGCTCCTGGTGGGCTCCACAGGTGCAGATGTTTCTCTGAGGCCGTGGAAACTCCCGCTGGAAAAGGGGGTGTCCCTTATTTCACACACCTTCACTGTCAGCAAGGGGGAGGGATGTGAAAGGGAACTTCTTGACCTGAAAGTTTTAGCACCTTGTGCTCCTTAGGATGGGAACCCCCTTCCATCATGGCACGTTTTCCCTGACAAATGGTCAGGCAATCACAGAATCGTTTAGGTTGGAAGAGCCCTCTAAGATCAGAGTCCTGCCATTCCCCTGGCCCTGCCAAGGCCACCACTAACCCCTGTCCCCAAGTGCCACATCCACAGGGCTGTTGGACCCTCCAGGGATGGGGACCCCACCACTGCCCTGGGCAGCTCCAATGCCTGAATCTCCCTTTGCATGAAGAAATTTTTTCCCAATATCTGATCTAAGCCTCCCCTGGCACAGCTTGAGGCCATTTCCTCTTGTCCCCTGTTGCTTGGGACACTTGGGAATAGAAAGGGAGGTGAGGTTTCATTTCATGAAGCTGAATACAGACTGTAGCACTCACAGGAGAATGATCTTACTGCATCACTAAAAGCCTTGTCCTTCTAATGCTTTGTCACCATGCCTTCCAGTGTTTGTCCTCCTGCTGGCCTGAAAAAAGGGAACTTATGGTTGGAGCTCATGTATAGTGCATTTTATGTTCTCAGGTCACTGCTACTTGAAATAACTGTAATTACAAAAAAAAGTAAATAGAGAAGAGTCTTGCTATTCAACTGTTGAAGTCAATGGCTTTGGTTATTGGTTATCCAGTGTATTTTGAGTTGTTCTTACCTACCCAGGGTCTCCCAGAAATGAGAAATGCTACTTCCCAAATAAAACTAAACATAAAGAAAACCCCAAAACAAATAGAAAGAGTTCCTCAAAACAAAAGAACAAAAACCCAAAACAGAAACAACAGGGCATATCCTTAACTCAAAGCAGTCTGGTTGAAAACACTTTAATGTCCTTATTCTCTCTGTCCTTTCCTCATGTTAAAAGTGACTTTTCACTGCGGTGCTAAATGTGGTTTTATTGGGCTCAGCCCTATAAAAGTGTCCCGAGGAACCTTCCTGCTCCCAGCAGAACCCCACAGTGTAGGCCCTGAAAATAGGCACGTTTTTAAAATGTGGCTGCTCAGTCCTGCCAAAATACCCTTAAGGTCAGTGAAATTTTGGGAAGGCAAATTTCCCAGGGAGGTACCAATACCTTGAGCATGCACAGCCATATCAGCAGCTTTGGAAGAACTGTGAATGCCAGATTTCTTTCCAAAACCACAAAAATTTCCAACTAAGTAACCTGTACAAATCAAATGGAGTCAGAAAACGTCTGGAACAATATTAGCTCAGAGTTAAAACCTCTATAAAGTTCTGTGCTCCTGAGAAAGTGGTGCTTAAACTAAAAATATTGGTTATTTTTTTTGCAGCATGGCTGATACTATTCTTAGAGTGAGTGGTTTGCTGTGGTTGGAGAATCCTCCCTTCAAACCCATTTATTCTGGAAATGAAGACTTGTTCCTGGGTGCCAGAGTGAATATTTTGAAGAATATTTTGAGGCACACATTTAGTCTGCACAGTTTAGGGGACCAGGCTTTCTAGAATGGACGGGGGTGTGAGTTGGAGCATTTTTGAAAGAGAACTTTGGTTTTTGTGGGTTTGGGAAATCTTTATCAGTAGGGCATATTCAAATTTAGAAAGAGAGGAAAAAAAAAAAAAAGGCACAACAAGAAAAATAAAAGCAAGAAGCTCAGCTCAGCGGTGAGGGGGCTTGTCATGTATTAATTTTTCATTGCTGTGGAGAATTGTACATACATAATCACTTGATTGCAGTGGGAGTTAGCGAGCTCCTATGGTGTCATTTGCATAAATCTTGTTAAGTCAATGGCAGTTAATGAAGTACAAATGAGCCTGGAGAAGGTGACATGCAAATCGTGGGTGGCAGATGGGAGGTCTGTTTTTGGGATGGCAGCTGTGAGCTCTTTCTTTTTTTTTTTTATGATTTTTTTTTTCTCTGCTGCCCCCATCCCCCCAGACTGGAGTGTAAATAAATACGTAAGAGCTGGCCTTGACTTTCTGCTTCCAGCCCTTCTTCTCTTTGCCCTTTGCACTTAATCCCAGATGCTCATATCATTCTATACTCCAGCTACATAACCTTGACTGTTCTTTTACCAAAAACTGGTCAAAATAGGTGTTTGATAGGCTGGTTCAATCCTTGGCTTACCCAGGGAGGTGCTGCACCTCCTGTGCCCCCAAATTCCTGCATCATTTAAGTATAAAAAACTTGAAACCTGGATTAGAAGCACATGTGTTCTAGTGGTTAATGTTACATTGATGACACAGTGAAAAATTTGCCATCCATGACTTGCAAAGGTGAACTTCAGAACCCATTCCCTTCCCTCAGTTTGCAAATGGCTGGATTAATGGAGAAAGTGGAATATCTTATTCAGGCTTTACTTTTAGGTGATATTTCAGATGACCTTCTTTGCCTGCCAGCTTGGCATATTTAAGCACGTGAAAGTGATCTTAATGAAATTAGGTATTTTTTTCCTCTTCTTTTAGTTCTCTGAACTAAAAATGGCAAATATTTTTAGGTCAGGGCGTGGGGGTGGCACCACTCACGTGCTTTTCACAAGGAGGGTCTGATTCCTGCCCACACAAAAGTTGCAGTTTTCCTTCAAGATGGGCATAAACAAAACTAGAACTTCTCAATGTACATCTGAACCTTGTAAAAAAAAAAAGACCATTAAACTTGGCAAAGGTAACTGTTTGAAAATGCTTTCAACAAACGCCAAACTGGCCGTAAAAATCCTGTCACTTGTCCTCAGTTCCCTACAGGTGTAGGACAGTCTTGCCTCTGCTTCACTAGAGATTTTCTGCTTGCTGTTTAACCCCCTTTTTGGTCATTTTTAACTCTAGTTGGGGCGTTCACAGCACCAGTTACGCAATTCCTGTGTGGAACAGCACACCAGAGGGAACATCCCACCTGGAACCTGTTCTCCCTTAAAATACCCGGAGCTGTCTGTCCAGCTGTGGGAGCATTCCAGCAAAGC